AATGGAAGAGTGGCAAGTGGTAAAATAAGTACTCTGTTACACTGAGGTTAACACAAGATTAACGTTTCTGAAAATCCAGGGAAGGTGAAAAAATGGGAATGGGTGTAATATTGAACCAAATATGCAAAATGAAATGTACTCTAGAATGTGCAATAACACCCCTCCTCTCCAACAAGCTAATCCTAGAAGTTTAAAATTAACTCAGGAAGCATAAAAGAGAATCATTTATTGTAAGTAATAAATAGATTTCCTGTCCTTGTCTTTATGAATTGGATAGCAGAATGCTGCTTTCCAAGTAATTTCCAAACAACGCATTTATGAGCTGAAGGAACAAGAGTGTAAGAGAAGCCAATGTTTGTTCTTGTTTAGTTAGATCTGATTTATAGGCTAAGTAGTGTCTGAATGAGGTAATGGAGTTTTTAAGGGGGCTGATATTCTGAAAAGAAGTGTATTTTGGCAGACAGAAATTACAGTAATAGTAAGAAGTGGATGCTTCTCAGTGAGAATCTATGCTGTTAGCTAAAGAAATGTCCTACCCTCTCATTGTCATATAGACATTACATTTTCAGCTTTAAGCCTCTAATTCACCTCAAACATTTAGAGCAAGTGGTATAAATCCACCGTTCAGATCTCCACAAGCCAGAAATCCCAAGTACCCCCTACTTCTGCCAGGAAGGCAGTACATCCATCCATCCTTGCAGCTCTGCGCCCGTCTCACAGTGAAGCTGGCATGACATAAAATGACTTGGCTTTCTTCCACCTCCCAGGAAGGCTGCTCGGATAAGTGGTGTTAAGAATGCATCAAGCCCAGGCCTTGCAGGATTTGGAGCCCAAGGAGATGTGCAAGCTACTTGCATTCAGAAGCATAGGCAAAGGCAAAAACCTCTGCAGAGAGCAGCTGACTGCTGGACAAGGTAAGAAAAGTGAATTGTGTGCCTCCCCTAGCCTGAGGGTTGTACCTTTATCTCCCACTGCCAGGGACTGCCCTAGTCAATAGGATTGAGCCTCATGGGGAGTGAAGAATTTTCCATTCTTTTGTTTAAAATTTATGAAAGGAAGGATTTAAAGTTTCTTTGGTCTAGTGAAAGAATTCAAGTATCCATCTAACCTTGGTGTAGGTGTTGGGACTTTGCTGCTATTATTATAGGTAGGTTTGTTTCTTGGGAGATGTAGGGCAAAGACTTGAATTTCCCTGTTCTGAAGAAGGCATTGAGTCCAGGTCTTCCCTATCCTCAGTAGTCTAATAACACACAGTTGAGCAAAACAGGAACTTGTGCCCTGTTGCTGAAAAGAAGATAGATGTATTCCCTGTCTTTAGGAGGCCTGAGCTTCTTCTTTACCTGCAGCAGAATATGGGCAATGCCAGAACTCTGTGCACCAAAGCTGGGCATATAAATCCAGAGCCTGTCATGAGGTAATTTCAAACAGCCCATCAAGCATATTCCCTTTTGTAAGCACACTGTACTGCTTGATTTAGCAGCTGCCTGCTGGGGACCTTTCTATGTCATAACATGTCCTTCCTCCATGTGGCAAAAGATTCTCAGAGCTCTGCTAACTCAGGGCTGTGTAGTCCACTCTACATGTGCTGCTGGTGTAGAGGCGTACGAGCTTGTAGCAAGGCTATTCACAGAAGCAGATGTTTCACTTTGACCACCAAAGTTATATTTGTTGGGATGTCTCACATCAGTGGCTGTAGTTTTGTAGAACAAAGATCTAGAACGAGTGAGAAGAAATAAGAGATGACTGCTGTACTCTGCATGAAGTCTGTATGGATATCTGCAGCATTTTTGTTGGTAGAAGGAACCGAGTGCTAAAGTAGATGACTGCAAGTCCACATTTATCTCTGGAAATTCTTTTGATCCTGCAAATTATGAGATACACTGAGACAAAGACATCAACATGTATTAGTGAAGTATATGGAGATATAATAGATCTTGATAAATTATGCAGTCAATTAAATAAAAATATTGCATTACTCATGTTCCTTAAATGTGATTTGCCAACAATATTCCCATGGGGCACTGATATTTCAGAGGATATTGTTTAGGGTTAGGAGATGAAGTTCTCAGGTTGTTATAATGAAAACGCCACTCAGCATATACGGCTTGAAAATCCATTGTTAATTAACAGCATTCAATTCTTAATTGTCTTTTTACCAATTCAGTTGAAATCATTGACACAAAATACATTGGTAAACTGCTTAATCAATCATTGTAGAAAAATAGAGGTGTTTGATAGGGACATTCTAGTACAAAGTTTATGTGAAGCTTCCCCATTGAAAGCTTTGGAGGCTTCTATTTTTTTAAGCTTATGTTACAAAAATGAGATTTCATAAACTTTACAGTCCGTGCTACATGAATACCAAAGACAATAAAATACAGAAGGGGAGAGAGAAAAAGACAAACACATACACCTTAAGCTTGAAGTGCCCTATTCACAAAAATATAGCTTACACATGCGCATGCCCCAGTGGCTTAAAGTCTATTTTTTTTGTGTGCTAAAGGACACAAAAAAGGTTTCAGTAGGGCCCTGAGCTGCTGTTCTAATTAACACAAACTTTTCTTAAACTGCAGCAATGAATTACGGAGGGGCCCAGTATATTCCAAGAGCAAAAAGCAGGTTTATCCTCAGAGGAATGGTTTGCTTTCAGCTCATGCACCTTTTGCCAGGACTCCAGACTGACACACATAGGCTCTTGGCTACCCACGTGCTATCGCTAGGTTCTCTGCTGCGGAGCTTCTGTCTTCCAGCAGAGCTTTGAGGTGATCCTGCGCTGGGTGACATGACAGATAGGTTGTGGTGGGTCAGCAGGAGGACTTGGCTTGTTCTTTTGTTGGGGCAAATGACCAAGCTTTAAAATGTCTGCAGCAAGTGAGTTGTAACTCATGAAACCTCAGTGTAAATAACCTTTACCGAGTTGATAAAATCAGCCGTCCTGGGTGGATGGAACAAAAATCCATTGCTTGTGTTAATCCTGCTCTGTGGAAGCCTTTAGAAAAGATGCTCAGAGCTGAAGCAAGACTTCCTATCCAGCCTGCCCTGCCCATCCCCAGTGTGCAAACCTTTCCCCACCCCCTGTTCTTCCTCCTTGGCATTAAGCACAGCAGGAGGACCTGCAGAACCCCATGGATTAGCCACACCTGGTGAAAATTAGCAAGGGACAGTTGTTTATGCAAGAAATAGGTATGTAATTGAAGTGAAAGCTATATCACAGTGCAAAATTTCCACCTGCCCACTGAGTTTCTCCTGAGTTTTTTTTTTTTTTTTTTTTAATTTTCTTTCCATTTTAGTGTAAATGTTTCTGTACAAAAGATGCTTTGAACTCCCTTCAATATGTTCCTTCTTTCCAGAATAGGCAGGTATAAAACTAAAAAAAAAAAAAACAACAAAAAAAAACCAACAAATTAAGGCTGCAGCTTCCTTTTCCTTCACTGACAAAAATGTAGTTGTGGATGGGCCTGGAGAAAGCCAACTGATATCAACATGACCTGCGTTGAGCAGGTGGCACTTAGCACACGCAGGCCTGGCATGACCCACACACGGAGTGGGTCGGCTCTGCTCTGGATGCAGACATTGCAGTGTGAGCTATGCAAGCTGTCTTTGTCCTGTCAATTCTGAAGTTGGGGTGTACAGGATTTACAGTGGTTTATGGCAGCCAAGGAGCTGATGTAGGAACCCCCGCTCTCCTGAGCACGGGCGCAGGATCCGTGTGTTTTGCTGAGAAGCCCTGTTGAAGCCTGTCACCCAAAGATTTTGTGATTTTTTGGGACCCACTAAGCACCGGTGCTGCTGGCGAGTGAAATTCTTCCAATGCAGCTTCAGCTGTTTCCTTCCTGGCTGGGTAGCTGCCATCTGCATGCGACAGGCCCACTCGGTTTCCAGTGGCCTGTGCCGTTCGTGCATCAAACCGCTTAATTGAAATCCCACGGTTTGAGTGGGGAGAAGGGAGATGTTCCCCTAGATATTGCACATAAAGGCTGATACCTCTGCATGAAACATGCTTGCTAGATTAGGAGTACGCAGGAAATTCTTGTTTGCCACAGTCTAAATTTAGGTCGAACTGCTGAGAAAATACCCAGGAATGATTTGCCTTATTTGTAAACATTTTCACAGTATATCAGTAAGTATGTTACAATTTTTTCTACCCTGCCCTCTCCCAGACTTATGGCTTTTTAGAGTCAATAAAATGACCTGTTTGGGAAACAGTGAGGTACTCTAAAATAGCTGCCAGTCTGGTACACTGAAGAAGATGTCATGCACTAAAAGAGCCATATATATAGGGGGGGAATCAATATGACACTCCGGATATTAGAAGAGAAGTGCTTACTCAAGGGGTAGCTTGTTTTTGCATCCCATTGTATTTCTAGAACTCGTTTTCTAATCCTATATTAATTACACATCTATGTACATTATTTAGAAGTTCTTTACTACAGTACTTTTGTACATGCGTTGTTTATTACTAAATGTAAAGAGAAAGTAATTACATAAGGCATATGTACAGTATCATGTTGGGGTGCAGATCCCTCTGCTCACCATCCTCTTAAAGCTGCAAGGCCCGTTTTACAGAGGCTTGTCATCCAGTTTGCAAAGCTGTCCTGAAATGCATAAAAAAAACCTGGAGCCAAGGCCCATTGCTTTGATGAACATCAATTAGTCTTTCCTTTTTATTTACCTTGTTTATATTCTGGTGGTTTTTTTGTTACTTTGAGGAAACCTGGAGGTCTGAACTCAGAGAAGTGCAGAGGAAGCCAGCAGTCGTTACCAGGGTGGGGATGGAGATTCCAGTGAAAGTAATGGGTATTGCAGCTTTAACCTACATCTTAACTTAGTCTGTGAAACTCTTGAGTTTGAACTGGGCAGGTAGATATTTCACATCTGAACTATTTATTTTCCCAGAATTAATAATGACAAGAAAGAAAAATAAAAACATGTGGAAGAAATAAAAGGGGAACATAAAGGGAAAAGATAAAGAAGGTCATGTGGCCCTTACACCTCTGGTTCTACACTTTGGACTCATTCTCTAGGTTTGCCACATCACCATTTCTTTCATTTTGGTCTTCTTGATTTTTCTCTTCCTCTTCAGTTTCCAGCTCAGCATGCTGGTCCAGCTTGCTGGAAACAGACCAAGTCAGGGGCAGTTCTGCTCGGCTGGCCATCTCTGCCAGCTCTTTGGCACTGTAAACTGGGGTGTTGGTCTCGTATGTTTCATGAAAACTATTGTAGTCAACTTCATAAAATCCATCCTCCAGAGTGAGGACAGGGGTGAAACGATAACCCCATAGGATCTCACTTGTAACATATGAACTTCGAGCTTGGCATGTCATTCCTGTAACAGAGAAGGAAGAAGTGCTGTTATAATGACCCACTGCTTTCCCAAAATCTTAATTATTTTTTCAAATAGGCAGAGAAGTGTATGTAAAATGACGCATGCCAGAAAAGTAATAGGCTTTACCTCATATGGGGTTGAGCTTAGAAAGCAATTTTATGGTGTGTAGCCTTCTTCTATGTGCATGTATAATAGCAGTACATCTGCGACCAAAGTCTTAATATTCTTTATTAAATGCAGTTCTTCTTCCTGTATTTAATCAGTGAATGACTCGCCCACTGCTAAATCTCAGACTGCTTGTTGAGAATGTGTATGGCTTCCTTTTGTCATCTTTTTGTTCCCTGACAGATGACTTGTGTAACAAACCCACACCACCACACTCAGCAGTTGCCAAGGCTGAGGAGTTTCAGTAAAACCTATTCTCTGTTGGAGCTAAGTCCTGATCCTGTGGTCCACAGGTTGACTTGGTTTCCTGAGGGGTTGGAGCAACCTTTTAATTACGCTGCTTTGACATTTGGGCTGGTGGTCAATGTGCAAACATCAGCAAAGTTCCAGGGGGGTGTTGCAATAGTATGTGGGGTGGAATTTAGATTAGTGGGGCTATCTTCTTTGTTACCTTCCTTTCACAGCTCTGCTGAACATCACTCTGGCAACTGCTGTAGTGCAACAAATCTGTAAGGTACTAGATTGCATTAAAAGACATGAAGATAGGCAGCTATTCTGAGTTCAAGGTCTAATTCAGCTCTTCTGGCTGAAAAAAAATCTGGACGTGGTGGGGAGCTGTAACTTGGAGAACATGTCCCATCTGTAGCAGACAACTCAGGGAAGTACAACAATAAAATATTGTTGCTCAGTAATGGAGGGGGAAAGTCAGCAGACTAGGAAAAAAGGTCAGGAGAAAGGAATTTGTGAAGCAAATGCATATTCTCAACAAAATGTGTTTACATGGAGGATGTGATGGCTTTCCTTTAGTTATTTGTAAATTATTAGCTATGTGTTCCTAAGCAAACCTCAGGTAAATACTGTATGTCAAATACTTATTAAATACTGATAATATAACCTCTGGATAAGTCTCCCATACATCAGGTGTTTAGAAGGTAAACAACAACAAAATCTTTCATTTTGTGGGTGCAAATGACATTCTATATAAATAAACATTATTTCTCTACCAAATGAATTTACAAGGAGAGTTTCAGGAAGAGCAAATGTGGATAGCTTAATGTTTGGTCTTTTTCAGGACTGTACTAATTACTCTTGATAATTCTCCCCTCATCCTCTTGAACCTTTTCTTCAAACTCAGGTAACTCATTCCTGACGGGTGAAAGCTGCTGTTCTTGGTACTCAAACTTTTGCATTTATACCGTTATGTTTACAAAATTATTTGCTGGCTTTTCCCACGCTGTGGTACTTCTCCAGTACTTCTCTCCACATCACAGACACTCAGGAGTGACTGAAGCTTTAGCATGAAATCTGCCTAACTTTTTCTACTTGCTAGAAAAGCGAACATACTTCTGCTATGCTTACCAATCTTAACTTCTTTTTCCCTGACTGGGCTACTCAGGCCTTTGTTTCTCTTGGTTTTGCAGCACAGGTCATGTTTGCATTTCACTTCTCAAATAACGCACAAACAGAAATATAAAGGTCTTACCGTTTTACTGTTCATTTCACAGGTGTGAAGGAAGGAAGGACATCAGATGATGTATGACAAAATTATGCATTGCGAGATTTCCTGTATGATTTTTAGTCTAAAGGAGATCATCTTCCACACAAAATGAGGAAATTGACAGCTCACAGTGCACTATACAAGACATAAATGTACTAGATGTGCAGCACCTTCCCAAAGCACCATTTCCTTTCATAGAATTGTTAAAGTTGGAAAAGACCTCTAAGGTCATCTAGTCCAACCATCAACCCATCATTACCATGCCCACTAATAATGTCCCTGTGCAGAATTCTGGAATGGATGCATGTTTGATAGGACCTCCCTGCCTCAGAGATGGTGGCATCACCAGACTGGATGCAGGGAGGGCTGGGAGCAACCAGTACTGATGTATTCCTTTTGTCTCAGATCCATCTCTGGTCTGGTTTCTCACCAGATCCTTTGGCATGATGAGACCAGTTACACCTGGATGGGTTGTTCTGAATGAGTGTGTCATTCCTGACATTCATGTGTTTCTAATTCCTTTGCTGGAGAAATTTAACTTTAAAATGAACAGAAAATCTGGAGTTTTCATTTAAAAGGCAATAAGATTAAATTAAAAAATACCAAAGTGCCTTCAAAACAATATTACCTTCCTTCATTCTAACCAAGTACATACTGTTCCTGCTGTTTTGCTTAGGAAACATTAATTTGACCACTGGAGAAGAAGGGAGCAATTTTCTGCAGAAGTCAAGAAGATTAATCAAAATATGCTTGAGTTACAGTTCATTAAAATCTAGCTGAATTTGAAATTTTGATCCATCTCTGCATTTTAATTTAGTTTCCCATTCCCACAGTGATTTAATACCTGTTCATTTTCCATAGCCAGACAAAATAATTTCAGAGCTGGAATGAAAAAATTAGGACTTTTGAAACAAACAAGTTCAAATCAAGAAAAAGACTAAATCTATCAAGGGGTGTATGTGAAAGGCTTAAAAAGCTTAGATTGCTAATACAAAAAAAAAAGTCTCTAAATGGACCACAGTTATTCCAGAACAAAATGTGCCACAGTTGCAGAGACCCTTGAAGTGATTGCCAGTGAACCTGCATGCATCTGGAGGCAGAACAAAGATCTTTCTGAGAGACTACATTGCATGGGTTTACCAGCTTGTGTCTGTGCTGGCCCAGGGTTCCTGAAACTTGTCCCTTTATCGTATATTATCTAATACACACATTTTCATTTTATGTCATCATTTTAAACTTTGCTAAAAAAGAAATGTGACTCTTATGATTTGCTCTAAACTCTGGAGTTTGTAGATGAGGCAACATCTTGCGTGAGGGTGTTTAAGACTTTAGTTTTACAAGTACTGCGTGGTTTATTCAGTAAGCATGTGGTTTATATGTAGCCAGAGATCTGGTGTACAATGGCTTTAAAAATAACTGTGGTTTGACATTTTGACTACTGTTTCACTTCAACTGGATCCCTTCCGGGAAGATGAAAACTGGATGGGGAGATTTTGGAGCTTCTTAGCTCAGCATTAATTGGACTTCTTCAAAATTAGCACGAAAATTAGGAGACCCAAATAATTCATTTTAGATTAATTAAAACTCTAACTGGGAGGAGTGGTCTGTTCAAGCAGGAGGATTGCAAACCAGTGAAGACCTTGAGACTGGATGCTCAGGCCCTGCTAAGTCCCCATGTCTGAGGGGTGTCAAGTGAAGCCAGGGTGTCTGATGGTGACCGAAGGACAATCTCAACTGCATGGGGCAGCTGCCAGCCCCTGCAAATCCTTATGAGGCAGCTCCACAGCCTCCTGCTCCATCTGTCTCTGCTCCCTGGCATGGTAGAAATGCAGAAGCAGGATTAGGTTGCACCGCTGTGGGCTTTATTTTGCACCTGTTCACCTAGCTGCACGCTGGACTTTCAACACACTGTGAGCATATGAGACCTCTGATGGTTCCCCTTGGCTGTCTCACTCCTCTAAACTCAAATAATTGGCCCTTGTATGTGTTGTAGCTTTCTCTCAGGTCTTACTTAATAGCAGTGTTTTGGTCCGTTTATTTTATGTTTACACAGGCTGCAGCATCATAACTGAGTGTTGTCAGGCAAATTACCTCTGAAGTAAAATTAATAGCCATATTACATTATTATGATGATTATTATTAAATTATGCTTAATGTGCAGTTAGAACCTGGTGAGCTGTAGACACAGACATAAAAATTGCCATTTTCTCCTGAAAGAATTGCACTGTTGTGGATACCATTCCCATGCTCTCTTTTCCCATTTCATGGGTCAGAACTATGCAGAGTGTCACAATGGAATTTTGGTCCTTTTTACATTATAGAAGGCAAAATAAATTATGGGTTTTGGTGAAGGAGGGTTTTTTTTTTTTTTTTTTTTTTTAAAGTATACAAGCTAACACTGCAGCATTTTCACAGTTTTGCTTTAACAGGAACAAAAAGATCCTGCTGACAGTGCTGGGATTAGTTCCACATATCTGAAATCAGACATTAGTTACTATTTTGGGTAATCCCATTACCATACAGCCAGTTCACCAAACATTTCATTTATTCCCTAAATGCTTATTATTCTTATTCAACAGGTGAGGAGCTGAACAGCACAAAGCCTTGAGCTGCACTGCAAAGTGAAGAGTGTCTTGTGAGCAGAAGGCAGCCTGCTAAGCAACTTTCTGTCCACCTTAAAATTGACACACAGCTGTGGCCACAAGGTATCTGTGCCAGGGTGAGGATGCTGTATATTTATATATATTTATAGAATCATAGAATCATAGAATGGTTTGGGTTGGAAAGGGCATTTAAGATCATCCATTTCCAACCCTTTGCTATAGGCAGGGATATCTCCCTCTAGACCAGGTTGCTCAAAGCCTATCCAGCCTGGCCTCCTGGCCTTGAGTTCTTCCAGAGAGGGGGCATTACTGAGTTAGGCTGTAAAGGGCTTGCTCACAACCACAGCATTACATCCAGGAGGCTTTGACAAGAAGTTGGGACCATGTTCTGGCTCCTGACAGATGTTCCTCTCCAGACAACCTAGGAGAGAAGGCTGAGGTAGATACTTCTTCTCTGAGAGAATGGTCAGGCTCTGGAACAGGCTGCCCAGGGAGGGGTGGAGTCGCTGTCCCAGAAGGTGAACAAACATTTAAACATTGCACTGAGGGACATGGTTTAGTGGGAAGCATTGGTGATAGGTGGATGGTTGGACTGGATGATCTTAGAGGACTTTTCCAACCTTGGTGATTCTATGATTCTATGGACCAGCTCTGTTTCTGTGCATTCCATCAGTGATTTTGCTTGCAGCTAGAATGTGAGGTTTTATCAAGCTTGTTATTTGCAAGTGCAGTCT